TGTCCAATGAACTACAAACGATCCCTAGTTCGAACCTGTTTTGTTAGAGCACACCGAATATGCTCTGAAGAGTCAATCGAGGCTGAATTACGATACATCGAATCTAACCTACGCAATAATGTCTATCCTAATAAATTCATCACCAGGTATGGGAATGAGGTTGCCAAGAAAGAAACACGAATTGATGTCCCAAAGAAAAAGGCCTACATAACGCTACCATAAAAAGGGGAACAGAACGACAGAAGATTGTGCTACCGATTACGCCAAGCCATAAAAAGGTGCAATTACGCAGCTGAGCTCGTTTTGTTACATCAAACCAAGAAGCTGTTCCATGAATCTAACTTGGATAGACCTCACTCTCAGGTTACGGCCTCATGTGTTTACCAATTCACCTGTACTTGCGGTAGCATGTACATTGGCCGAACCGAGAGAAGGCTATCAACTAGGGTCATGGAACATGTTCCAAGGAACCTGGCAAATAGTGGACCTAAACTCCCTGCCAGCTCCATCGCTCAGCATCTGCTTGATTGTACCTTGTGCGAAAACCCACGTGGCGCATTCAAGGTTATCAGCAGACAAAACAACGCGAGCTTGCTTCGTTTCGCTGAAGCCTCGGCCATCCGACGAATGAAGCCAAATCTTTACAAACAGGTAGACTTTGTGGCCAGTCTTGCCTTACCCTGGTAAGACGTAGGCAATGACCTTGGTTTGCTCAGTGTTTTATTGATTTTCCTATTGACCCCCCTTTTTCAATTGCATTCCTTTACTCTTTCCACGATTTGTCTGTAAGCGGCTGAACGAGAAGACACGAAATAATCTGAATTCAGGTTATCCCGCGTAAACGTTGTTTGTTCTTGCTCTCTTGAAATTTCTGAAGGGAAATGGCTGCATGAAACTTACTGGATAAATATGTAATGCAGAAAGATTGGGTATTTTTGACAAAGCTCAGCGCAGTCAGATTTAGTCACCCCGTTAGCACACATCGAAAGGGGTAAAACTGCTTTTCGTCCTATTACGGCCCGCCAGTATAATGCACCCACCTAAGTCTGATGAGTCCAAAACCATAACTGTATTATCACGAGCCAGCAATTTAAACCACAAAGCCGTGGCTGATGGCGGATGTCCATGGCTGCTTACTAATTTAGACATAGTGTGACGCATTATCCACTGACATGAGTGTGATGAACCTGCGGGTAAGATGGTATCTTTTTATAACTACGACGATTCCACTGTGACAAACCGGCCATCTAGAGCTCTTCCAAATGCGTAGCGGCTGTCTCACAATGTGTGGATTCGATGAACCGCTCAGCAAAACACGAAGTAGCGCTGTATTGCCTAACTGGTTGCAATCAAGTATGCGGAGAATGTACATCTCTCGACTGTGTAAGTAACAGTCCAACTACTTGGACTGATCATTTGGTACAACATGATCTCAAAGTGCAGATGTTATTTTAGATTTTCTGGGACACTTAAAAATGGGAGTACAATTGGTGAAAATGGTAAAAAAGAAGGAGTTTTAAAGTAGGATGAAAGTTATTATGGACGGAAGCATAACAGAGTTAATACGGCTATCCGTGGAACCGACTCCTTTGGGACCCACTTCCATGCGGGGTATTCTCTCGAAAGGTTTCATCCGCACTTCCACCTCCCATTTGGGTTCGTGTCAGTGTGGCGAAACAGCAAGCGAGTCATCACCATACTACTCTCATTTTTATGTCCGTTCTTATAGGTAATGACTAACAGGCTCACAAAGATAAGTGAACTCTCATGTTTCTCTTTTTTAATACTCTTTCAGGTCATTCATCCCACTTCGGCTTCTGACTCTTTGGAGTCTGAAGCATTTTCCTCTCGACGAGTGTGTGCCAATTTACCTTGTGTAGGCACATGTTTTTGCACTAATCTGTCTGTGACAATTCCCCATACATTGGTGTATTAAATAATCCGGAAGTTTCATTCCATCATATCGGGAAATCGGCCCAGTCATAATCAACAATAGAAAAAAGTAGTATAGGTGACGAAATACAAATAATGATCAATGGGTGGTATATATACACGACAAGTTCTGCTCCAGGTTGTAAATAGGGAATATATAGAAAAATAAAAATAAGGAAACAACGGCTCTATGAACGATTTTGAAATAGGTCCAGAGACTCCAGACAATGGAGTTGTAGAGTAATTGGTGTGGAAAGTGGACTTCACAGAGCATCAAGAAGTGCCACAAGTAGATGAGTTGTTTTCTCCGGAAAAGAAGTGATAACAATTAGCAGTGCACAGCAAATGTAAAGAGAGAAGAACATTAGTTTTGCATGGCAAAAGGCGAGATAGCGTAAGGTTGGAATGGGAATAGGCGTACCGGTTTAACTAAACGAGGAGGATATTATCCAGCTAGTTTGCACATATTATCATGCACATTTCTATTACAATTATACTTCAACCCCTTCTTCATACATTAGCTCCACTCTGCAGTCTAATTGCATAAGTTCTTTGACTTACAACCCAGTGAGGTACGTATCTAGCATTTCTCCAAACGATTGTTTAGACTCACAAAGTCCCAATTCAGTAGGCGGTCTGTTCCAGAAATCCGAGTACTTCGTGAGATAAAACTTCCTGCGTATGCGTTTTTGTTCTACTTATGAGAGGTGCATTTCTCTTAATTCTAATGTTATACCTTCCATTCTGAGTAAAGTTTATACTAGTGTGTCGGGCAAATATTCGTTTGTGCACTAAGTCAAATAGAAACTTCAGGCCCAGTTTCAAACTCCGGAACCACAACGACTCTAATTTAAGCAGAATACAGCGCTCTGAATTGTTTGATGTTGGTAATTCCGTAAATAACATACGGAAATAGGTTTTCTTGGAAAACAGCGCCATAGTTGTAACTGATGTCTGTGTAAACGTAGGTCATCAGTAGGTTACTGCTTAGATGACTCTCGAACACTACGACTTGGCATCACAATATTGCTTTGAAGGAAATCATAAAAGTTCATCCAATTACGCCTCTCGGATTCAAGCAGATAAAACGCGCATTTGAATTCCAACTCTATGTTGAACTGGTACGCCGCATACCAGTTCATGGTCTCTTTCATCATCATAACCCGTATTCTTCTACATTTGAGACTTGTAACTTCTTTTACATTCCAGTTTCTTAAGTCAAGAATAACATATTTCATGAATACTTTACATCTGACTAACCAGCAAAAGGTGGTCAGTGAATGTTCTAATTTGAATTAATGTACCCCTCGTCCCACATGAACCCCTTCGCTTGTGGTTCCAGGATGATGCAAGTACCGTGTCGATTTTGCCTCTTTCGTATTTCCATTGTAATCTCGTCAAATATTCTCCTGAGAACATGGCCATAAACTCAAAGTCAAGTCCCTATCACCTTTATATTAATTTAGTGGGGGGCTAAACCATCCATGGATGCTATGACAAATACGCTATTTAATGTTTATTAGAAGTCATCGTGATCAGTTTCCATCCACATAGTGGATATAACAACTTTTCACACCATCACTCCCGGCATTTTAGCGTAACCGTACCCTGTTCTCGCTGGCAGTACATCAATAGTAATATTAAACTGGTCAAAGTTGTCATAGCCGTCCCGCTAACTTGACGCAAACGCTCTCACTGACAGCAGTGATCGTACAACGTTGTTAGTGCTATTTATCACGAATGGTTAGGTGGTGATGTTGTTTAGGGAGCTCACTCTGCTATACCCTTTTACTTTAGATGAGCAACAAAGAGCATGGTTCTGCCTGGCGCCTCGTTGTCAGACCTATCTGGGTAGTATTCTTTTATCCACAGCTATAAGAGCTTGGGTTGAGTAGAGTACGCCTGGGAACCATCTACAATATTAAAATTAGTAATAAGCTACTTTAGAAAAGCAAAATTATTCACTTTGGATGTACTCCCAAATATGCTCCTTCAGCTATTATTCCAGTGACTGTGAGAAGGCAAAATGCATACGCAGTCTTTATAGCTGTGCTCTGGTTCAAAGACACCGACAGTAAAATTACCTCAGACCCGAAAACGCTCCAATTACTAAGATAAACACAAAGGCTCAGAATACGAAACTGAGAGTGGAATGGAACTTACACCAAGAATCCCGTGCCCCTGGTAACACGTTAACAAATAGGATCCAAGCGCAACACTTTTGACTGCGTACTGAACTACTACCACGGGGCGATTGAATAGCAGATATATAGTAGGAATACTTACCAGGCTAGCCCAAGTACACGGCGTGGCACAGTTCTCAGACGTGCATTCCACCACACCTTGATTCACAGTTCGTTCTATTTCATACAACTTCCAAGACACGAGGTATCATGCTACTATAGTCAAACGGTGAGAGCAGGCACACCAATTGACTGCTTACCTTGTGTTGAGGTTGTAGCGCTAAGATGAAATCAGGCTGCCAATCTGTCACCTGGAATGAAAGTCTCCAATCGTAGTGATCGGATGAATTCGAGGGACCAACCATATAGGCCGTCGGACGTAAACCTGACGGACTTGGTCACTGGATATGACAGAGCTAATCATCCGTCCATGCTGCCCCACTGATTGCTTGACCCTTCGCTGAGCCACGGTACTGTTCCCTATTGTTTGATTAACCGAAGTTTTTAAGGCTATAATAACATTATATATATGGAAAAGTTGTACTGGTCGAACTGCTAACATTCCTCTACGAAATGAAACGTTTTCTCTTGAATGGCTGACTTCTACGACACCAATCTTTGCAACGTTTATTGGTTCTCTTCTAGGTACAATACAGCTGAAAAATTGTATTCTGTTTTGGGTTTTTGAACATCTCTCCTAACGCTTCCTATCCAACCAATTGTAGGCCCAGTTAGCTCCCAGTGGTACTAAGTGACAAGCAACAGGAACTAACTTATTACTTGTGACCTCAGTTCGTTAATCACATCATCTATAATGAAAAGCCAAAAATGACAAGAGTTTATTGACGATACTGTGCTCACTTTGATGTGCCCCTGTTTCTCCAGCCAACAACGTCGTCTTATCGAACTAGAAAATGAGCACAAAGCCCTGCTCGCCCGACAAGAGCAACGAGCTAAGGAACGGTCAGAATGGTTCGGACAACAGAAGGTGAGCCGAGAATTTTCGCCTATGCATACATAAGGTCTTGCCTAGTTCGGTCCGAACCTACAGCGAAGTTCCCATGCTCATCCTGTTGCAACCAATTAAGGCCCTGAAATAATTCGCTTAAGGAGGTGCTAATGATAACATAATGAGTAGTACAGCCGAGCACAACGAAATTGTACATTTCGACTTTCGGCTTTTCACTCAAGGAACTGCGCAAATTACGGTTGTACTGGTCGTCAAATTTCGCCATGTGCACCACGTCAGATTGGGGTGCACCATAGTTTATTCATGGCATGTGGTAGAGATATTTTATACTGGTGAATTCAAGTTCAGTTTCAAATGAGTTGAACGACAACGGAATCTTGAGCCTTCTTCTTCACTAGGGCGTTGAAACAGTTATGCTCTGAATTCCCGTTGAACCCATCCTTGCCAACCAATTACCTCGCACGTATTCTACAGGCGCAATTCCTGGTGGGCGAGTTACGTGAAGAAAAGAAGACCATATAGGGAAGTCAGGAGGCGATAGGAGGCATCGTCGTCTTGATCATGTCTCTAATGGTGTGTCTTGCACAGCCTGGAATAAAACTTTGTTTATTATTTACTCTTGTTGGCTGAAGCTGAGAAGCACCCTTAGACTATTGTACCGTAATACAAAAAGATAATACATACGAAGAAACGAGATACTAACATCATGGAATGTAAAAACAGGTAAAAAGAACTACAGGATAACATATTGTGCTTCAAGACAATCATGGTTGGAATTGGAAGCTAAGCGGGATGGGGAAACTAGCAACACAAACGCCATTGAGCTCAACACTTTGTCATGTCAACTAGTGTATGGAACCAGATGTGTTCATCCTCCTTCGGTCCGCAGACCGGCAGTCGGAAGACTCCGACCGACGCCAAGTTAGGAGTGCGGGACCTCACACCCTTTGACTAAGCCATCACTTGGTCTCCCCTCTTTTTCAATCCAGCCGGCGCGCAAACAACGCACGTCGCGGGAGTCGGTGTGCTGGCATGCGCAACATGTGGTACGTGTCATGACGATGCTGAGCAGTTCACTCGCCCTTCCTGCACCAAATAAGCGATGCTGAACATGTTCATTGCTCAAGCGGTGCTCCAACCAGACATGAGCTAAGCTGCAAAGGCAGTGATGATCGAACGTGGCTAGCCTCCTTATGTCTGTCGACCTGATGGGCAGGGTTTCACAACCATATAAGAGGGTTGAACAGACGGCTGCATCATAAACTTTGCCCTTCAGGGCAAGAGTGATGTCGCATCTGCTCCACAGGTAGTGGAGATTGGTAGAAGCACTTTGAGCTTTTGACATGCGCTTGGTGATGTCCTTTTCTATTTTCTGAGCTCTGACATAGCTGTCGAGATACTTGAATTTCTGGACGAGTTCTAGTTGATATCAACTAAGGGTCAGTAAAGGAGTGGATCCCTGCCAATCTTGGAGAAACACTGCATTCCGATGGTGCAATACGCAGCTCGAAACGATTGACAGCTAGAGCTAATGTAGACAGTGCTACTCGGAACGTTCGGGAGCTGTCACAGATGAGCGCAATGTTCTCGGCGGGGCAATCGGAGGACAGTCATTTAGATAAGTATAATGCTTGGGTATGAGAGAAACTACAGAAAAACAATTTGAAAACAGGATATTATTAGGCTATGAGAATGGAAAAGTTTGGAGTTGTCACTTAAGTGCAATTAGTCCTTAACAGTTTATTCCTTAACCATGTGCTCTAGAAGAGTTCCAGCATCCGGTAACAGCTCAAAAATAACTTTTAATCCTAATTTTTAGTCCATTGCGCGCCATTTATGCTTTTTCGTAGGGGTGATCGCAAAAAATATATAACAGCAGGACTAACATGCCAGGACAGGTCAGGACCAACCTTTCCCGTCACAATACACTGTGAGAATCAATCCCCCTTCAGCTCCACCAAAACTGTATTATGTTCCCCAAATTAGTCTGGAGACACCTGTCCCAGTAATCCCTGCACTAACCATATATCAACTTGTAAGCTTCCAGGTCCATTCTGTATCGGGCTAACTGTGGTGGGTACGCTTGGGCACAGTATTTTAGGTGGGATTACACGAAAGCTGAGAGCAATTTCATAAACACTGCATCTATTAAGAATCCGATGGAGTGGCGTATTAACCACAACATAAGGGGGCATCTAGAAGTAACCTTCTTCTAATTATCTCTAGAGTGAAGGATCAAAGAGTGTACGATGCCTAGATCAACTTGCGGAAAGACAAGAGGGAATTCAGTCTTGTGCGAAACCAGATGTTCCAATGCAGCGAACAAAATAATACCTAATTCTTGGGCATCAGTCTTCGGATTGATCAAGCCCTAAGTCTATCCAAGGTAGTCTAAATTTCCCCAGCCATGGCAGAAACATACACAATCCAGAGCTTTATAGGCCATCAGTAAGTTATGACGACGGTGCATCAGGCTTCTTATGTATAGCAACTGCCTCAGTGTCGAACCCCGTGAAATCCCCTATTTATAGCTTGCATAAACGAATGATTGCATCTCGCACGTACACATCATTCTCTCCCACTCATAGTGGTATAAAAACACGGCCGACATCCCGTACTAAAATAATTTCAGTGAGAACTTTTAATGTAGAAGAGCGTCAACAGCTCTCGAGAAGTCAGCCAAAGGTTCGTCTGCTGTGTAGACATTTTCTACCACATTAGCCCAGCTTTCCTGAGTTAGCTGCAGATTAGTCACTCAGTAGACAAAATCTCTTCGGGCAGTTTTCCAGCGAAGTTTTCAAACTTTTCGACTACTACACGGGTGAAACTAACAGGCCTGTCACTGGCAGGCAAATTACTGGCACGGTTCTAAAAAAATTGCATATGATGACAGTATCCTTTCCTTCGCAAATTAACAAGCAGTTATCAAGCGACTTTAGAACTGCCTATGTGGACGGTCCAGTTAGTTCAGTAGCCCTTGCCTGGAGCAATTTCAAACCAATCAAAGCAATGTCTTGTGTATTAAAAGGATTTGGCTCCTTCTGTATCCTGAAAAGTTGAGCCTCCGTTAAACTAGTTACAGCTGGGCAAAAATTATCCGGAACCAATGAAACCCGTTCCGTGTGTTAAACAGGTTTTACGAGCAATTCCATTAGTACGCCGGTGGTTAGCTATACAATGCTTATCGCAGTCGGCATGCGCATGAGCTCTATTTAATCACAATATAACTGGTATAGGCAAATTGGGCAATTAACCCCAGCTACTCATAGCTGACCTTCAGTAACGTTGGTTATACGTGCCAGATTGTACGTCCTTTTACTTTGATATTTGTTCTTGATTTTGCCTCAGGAGCGCGCTGAACATCGTTTCAGCGGCGGTGCTAGCAATATGGAGGATACCGGCTATTTCAAACAAGCACCGGTCATTTCGCATTTGGCCCACGGAGTAACCACGAATGAAAGCGGTCAGTTATGTTTCCATCTAACGAATATCTTGTTATTGTATTTCATGTCGTTACACTAACCTCTTGTACTCGGTACGATTCCAAATTCATAAATGACATAATTTAGTGACTTGACAAGAGTACATCAAAAGAATGGGCTGTGTTTAGTAGGGCATTCGCTGTTGGTCCATCACTCGAATGGGTACAAAAGGAAGTGCATCTGACCAGTTGATGTTTTTTGTTGGCTTCAGGCTACCCAAATCCATCTACTGAGTTGCATGGGCGCTACGGCCGACCTCGATTTGATCACAGGCAACAGGATGCAAGAGGTGCGTTTCTCGTCCCACCCTACCCCATCCATAGCAAGAGTGGTCCGCAGGTCGTGGAAACCGAAATCGGTCGACTACCACCGGGGATCGGTCTGAATGACAGTCTAAGGGTGAAAAAGTCGGTATCTTTTGACAAAAATCTGGAGACCATCTCGGTCTACAGCCCACCAACAACTCCGCAAGACAGTGGAACGGAGAATGCGGTAGCAAAACAGTCATCTTCAGCGGGAATCGTTGGACCGTCTTTGTTTCACAGTAGGTTGCTGTTTTACGGTCATAATCTCAGTGTGAAGACAAAGTCGCTATACACGACCACATTTTGATTGGTAGCTCTGATGTACACCCGTCTTAACGGATCGAATCAATCGTTTACAGTCTCGTACGCATTAACAGTAAAAGAAACTGGTTGGTACCTGGCTCTATGCTCCAAAAACATCCACCAGTTGTACGTAGGGTGTGCACCCTTCGGTCTCTACAGTTTGTGAGTCACCTATCACCCACTTATCATGTGGATTCGAGGGAAGTGTATCATGTCAGTGCCATCGGTGCCCCATTGGTTGATTTGAGGCACCCATGATTGGTTCACATCACTGAGGAGTGTTGCAATACATACAGCAACATCCACGCACCTGCTGGGGCAATGTAATCGAATTAAGCACAGACGTGGAAACCTGTCTAATTATTTGGTGGTCTTCTTAAATCGTCTGAAGATTTAGGGTTTACATACGCTCATAACACACAATTTCTGTTTCGGAACAGGGTTCCGAGTTCTGTTAACCCGTTCGTCAGCAATGACGATCAAGAGAAGGGTGAACCCCGATTCTGACCTCGGTGTGATTGCAGGGTCCGTCACACGCAAAGCTCGAATTACACGTCTACCACTAACCAGACTGAGGCAGGTGGATTATACTTTAAAAGGGAACTTTTGTCTAATACGCGCTACATGAACCCCAGCAAATCACCTGAACACGCTACCAGCTCGCCGGTCGAGCTATCAATGTTCTATTAAAAGATGGTGTTACGTTGTGCTACCTCATTTCGCCACTGCTGTCTCACTGTGGTGCACACTGCTGCAGCACTGCACCGCATTTGGTACATTTCTATAGAAGCGGAAATCGACGTGCTCGGAGTAGGCAGACGAGTTCGCTCGCTCCAGCAGTCATCACTTCACATGTGATGGTTCCATTCCTCGGCTTGATCATTTGTGAGCTAGGTTATTCTGTGCAACCTGTAGTCTATACACGTTCCATCTACCTTACTCCACAAACTGTCGGAAGTCTGTAATATTTGATATGGTCCTCTGGCCGCTGGTAGTGGGTCCGGGATTGTACAAACAGACTGGCTTTTTTACCTGCTGGCAACCTTGTCGGAATTGCTTGGTTTCCCTGACGCAGATGGCCGTAGCAATTGTCCTTCAAGACTGTGGGATTTAACTCGCTTCATATTGCGATCGTGATCCACTGTCCGTAGGGGCTTGCTTTGAGTGCGTTCAAAGCAATGCACTCTTCTCTCAGGCAAGAAACAGTAGTGTAATCCGATTGAGTGGAAACATGGCATTAAGTGCACTAATCTCAATTTACTTTGCGACTTGTGTATGTGTGGACCAAAAGGAGGAGACAAGTCATTTATTGGGACAACAAGAATCCACAATATATAGTAAAATTGACTAGTTACAACGCCATTCCTGTACGTGCTGCCAAGTATCATCACAATTGTTTTCGCAGATGGTAGGTGGTGTACTCCTGCTCATAATCTTCATCGCGAGTTGCTTCCACCTTTCTTTCTGTTACACCTCTATCTGTGAATTCGGGCGTCCACCATTTGTCAGCTAGTCGATGTCATCCATAGTTGGCTGCTTCCTGTCAAGTCTCTTCGTTTCTGTTATACCACTCGTTCCTGACGCGACAGTGCTTATTCTGGGAGCACCATATACAGCTGACCATCTGAATTCCCAACAGCTCGCTAACTAACTTTCGCAGAATAGGGTGTGCCCAAAAATCACTAGACGTGAACCATTTGCATAGTCCATCGTCTAAATCAAGGCCCTTGCCATTCATCGCACGTGACAGAAATGGCCGATTCGGAAGTATGTGTCATCTGCCCGTCGATACGAGTATCTCTTCTGCCTTGTTCTACCGGTATGATTCTCGAAGCCTATCAGATAGTCATCAGAACAAGTGGATTCTGAGATGGGACGCGGAACAGTGAAATAAGGTTTGTAACAAGAATCAACTTATCACTACGCGACAGCAAGCAGTTGGGTGCAAAATATGCGCAGTTAGCATCCAACGAGTGCTAGTGAAGGTAGGTCTATTTTTGCTTCTGATAGTGGTATTTTCACGTTTTCTGTTGCATTTTCAATGGGCATGACCGAATGGGTTTTTATGGTTGCGTATTGATTTTTGTAGAAAGTTATCCGTAGTCCGGGGTTCGATTCCCCGTCGAGGCAGAATATTGTGCAAGGTTTACTCGTGGCTTCTACTCTTTACGAAAAAGATTACATGCTTACAAAACCACCAATACGTATTAATTGCCGAAAGTCAAGCCACCAAACAAAACAGTGTATTTGTGAACCCGACACAAAACGAAGGACGTGTAAAGAAAAACATGCACTTACCTGTCTAAATACGTCATTCTGTCTCACTATTGTGCGTACTTGACTTTATACACTGTGATTGTGTTTCTCTGCGCAAGTTTCAAGATTCAGCTAGATTCATTGGTGTCAACACGCCTTGGTTTTCAAACGCTGAATTTACCTCGGTTTGGGCTGGCCCTAACCCTAACATTTTCGTACCAAGTGCTACGGCATAAGAGGGGCATAGCACTGAACCTATTAGTGATGTTGCCTTATCGTATATACTCGTTCAAATTTTGGAGCTATTTTTCATCCGTACGGCCAAATAGCCGCTTGTGCTGTGACGACAGTGAGTCGTGTACGTTCAACTGCCTCGGCCCGCTGAATTGTGTCGGTGCTTGTTCAAGGTTAACCGAGATAACGCACATATTCAGTATGGTTTAAGAATGATATATTTCATTTGACATCCCGTAACTGGATATATTCAGTCCGATCGACATTCGGGAATGACAACAAGTCATCCACCACGGTCGTATGACTAGAAGTCCTACTCTGCATATACTCTATCTACCCGGCTGAACTTGTGACAGTTTGGTAACAAAACGACTAGAAACCCATTCCACATAGGGCGGCTTAGGTTTGAGCCGGTGATGTCGACATTCGGATATCTGATGCACTTGACCGCTGGTATATCAACTCAAAACGCCTCCTCGGTAAACGGCTAGACTTCGTGCCCGTCAAGCCTAGGCATTTTGGGACATCCTCATGGCCAAGACTGAGCGACGAGATCACCGAGACATGACTAGTCTCTTCTCACCACCGAAACCATCATTCGGTATGGACAGCGGAGTGTTATAAGGGTGAGTAAAATTTCGATCGCGTCTGTGACCAGGAAGACTAGATTTTGTCATCTTGTGTCGTCCTCCAAAGTCAATTCAGTGATGCACCATCGTCCAACTTCCGCTATGCACAACGGTCTCAAAGTAGCTTCAACTTGTGTGCTCTAGATGCACCTGCCTCCCTTACCCGGTAATGCATGGTCAAATCACGTAAGCTAGTAGATTTAAAGATATGTTAGTTGCTTAGTGCGATTCACAAAATGAGAGAAACCGGTTATCAAGGACCGTATACTTATTTGCAACGAACCAACAACTTACACATCACCAGCGGACGCATTTCTGGGCCCTGGGGATTCTGCGTGATCGTGCGCGACCCCAGAGATTCGGTCTAACTAGCCTCCAATGTTTCCCAAGAAAACAATATTTGGTATACCTGCGTAACTCAACGCAGTAGCTACTTTCACTTGTCCCGTGAGGATGGATTAAAACGGTAACAAGAAATCATAGGCCGCAAAATGTATACAGACATTTTTGTACACACCACATAGTACAGCGCGGAACTCCTGCTTTACACGCAACATGCGGATATTTGCAAACTACGCGAAAAGAGGTAAATCCTCTTGGACAATAACCTACTCCTACCTTCCATATGAATTCTGTATGTGCCATTACAGTTTGTAGTCCAAGATCTATGTTACAAGTAGTATTCCATCACATCTGGACTCAGTCAGACAAGAATCACGCGTCAGGTGAAGCACGGCCGTTTCATCCTTTCGGGATTCGTCAGGAATGCGCTTTCTGTCTGTCCCATGTGGGGCTAAAACCCGCAACCGACTAGTACCAGTCCGTGGTTAAAACCGCTGGATTACGGGATCTGTAGCGACAGAGGTGACTTAATAGATGTGATCTAGTGCCACTTGCTATCCGCTGATTTGCTCATTACCACCGTGCAAAGGGTAGGGTAGTCCCACAGGGGTCAAATGGAATGCACACTGCTGACAATTCCGAAAATGATGAAACTGCCGTACAGTGCTACTCCGAGCGTGTGATGACTCTCTCACTGCGTCTATAAGTGAAAAATTTCTGCTTATACCATTCGACTTCTCCAACTACTCCCCTGTTATTAGGTTATTAATAAAGTTATTACGGTTTTTAATCTCAGAATTTGACTGCGTATCGCTTAGCTCAAACGTAACATTTTCACTCGAAATAAGATGTATTTGAATTGACACACTTTTGCCAACGGGATACAATTCCATTTATCCTGGGTGAATAAAATGCCGGACTTCTGTTGGCGATGGACTCGTCGAACGCGGTTTCAATGTATCCTTGGGTTTTAAGACATTCGTTTCTACGGAAGTTATCCAGGTGCCTGAAAGAGTGGTAATCGGTAGGTGAGAGGTCAGAAGAGCAAGAAGGGTGAGACCCAGCTCGTGTAGCTACTTAGGGTTGGTTGTGCGACAGTCGGCCGAGTGCCATCGTGGAGAAAATTTGGACTCTTTCTGTTGCCCAATACTAAACACGTGTTAAAATTTTTGTTGCATGTCAGCAAATTGCTAACAAAACTTCTTCATCCTAATGGCCTTGCTTAAATTCTGAAAGCGGTGATGGATCAGGCCAGATGCAGACCATTAAACAGTCACAATAATCTTTTTGGGTGCATTTTCGGCTTTGGAAAATACGGTGGAGCTTGATCCTGGTCCAGCCATTGAGCACTGCGTCGTTGATTGTCGCAAAAACCCATCTTTTATTGCACGTCTCAATCCGGGTAGGAAACGAGTCCTTTTATTGCGCAGCACAAGGACAAATAACACTTCAAAATGACGATTTCTTGGCTTTCCATTCCATTGTTTAATTACCCACTTGTCAGGCTTTTTCAACATTCTGATCCCCCTTGGATGGTTGAAGTTGCCCATGCGAGACTGCAGCATTAGAAGCATGAGCTCGGATAGTTTGATACGGATGCGCTTCCACTAAGGCCTTTAATTGACCGTTGTTCACTTCCGATGGCTGTCCACAATACTCTTAATTTTCTGGCCTCTCGTAACCATTCCGATATTTTTAAACCATCATTGTGCAGTACAGTTACTAGTGGTTCCAGGACTAAATGCACCGTTTATATCACAAGGAGTTTCCGCTGCATTTCGACTAAGTTTAGACTCGAAGAAGAAACTGTGTGACTTAGTCTTCTGTCCCTGTCGCTTTAAATGTGCTGTAAAAGCGCAAATGGTGTTTCTTGGCTAAATTGTCAATACGGATAGACGGAACGAAGATAGCGCTTCAAAATGATATATGGGTTCAAAGCAAATTAACAAGCTTTTCAGAAGTGCAATTGTTTAAATTACAATATCAGAAACTGCAATAACTTTGTTAACGATCTGATATGTCTGTTATAACTGATAAAATATCCCGGGAGTAGACATCAGAACAAATGTTAGCGAACAAGCTCGTTTTCAGTGGTTCCTCATCAGGCTAATACACCACAAATGAATGACATGAAGCGTAAACATCAATTAAGAGTACAGGTTCAACACCCAGATGGTCTGAGTGACCAAGCTGTTATAGTCCATAATAAATATTTTTCAGCTAACCGGGTTGGTGAGAAGAGACCATGAACTTGTTTTATATGTTCTGGTCACTGTTTCTGATCAACTCAAACGATTTATCCTATTCGTTTATATTTCAACCCAAATAGCGAACTTAACGATTCCTTCAGCTGTTCCAAAGAGCCATTCCTCAGGAACACTAACAAGAAATCCGACATCTCCGAGCGAACCATCTCCTCGTCCTATATCTGTAAGTTCTAACCCTAAGCTTGTTGTTAACTAGTCACTTCTATGAGATTCTTATTCCCCAGATAATGTTCTAAATATCAACCAGTTGGTGTGTGTAAACTCTAGACTATGGGGGCAGATGATTATTGGTAAACAATGGTCAGTAGAAAACGCTGGCTCATCGTCCGTGCACCAGTATCTCTTTCACGCTCCGACTTAGTTGCCATTACCTCCTGGCCGGTTGTAATTGGGTGGGTCGTAAATCAGTTACATGTTCACTTTGTCCATGTGGCTATTCGCTATTTAAAAACCTAGCAGGCCTGTCGCTGGACCTTGCCTAGTTAGGCCTGGTATACGCACGGAACTTGAGGTGTGTGTGTGCTTAAATAGCGGGTTTTCCTTTGCCATTGGGATTATACCTAATTCCCCATTGTGGTATAAAGTATCTGCTAAGGACAGAAGTGTCCAGTTGTCATTACCACGTGCTACAGCAAGTAGTGATTGTTCTCACGCAGATCAGACTCCAACATTTTCCATCCCGACGCTAAACGATTGTGCTAGATCTGTGTTAAACTTGTATTAATTAACCTAATGTCAGCTGTGAAGAGGTCAGTTACTAAATTGTTTCCTCTTTTACAGCTTTGCGTACCTCATGTTCCTGACCTAAAGCGTCAGACGGTTTTCCTTTTAAAATTGACCACGATGACGTCATTTGTTAATAAAATTATTCATTTAATCTATTTTTGCTGCACGTTTTCAGAAAGGTAGGCTGATGCGCTAAAGCAAGCAAGTTGCATCGTAGTTGAGCCAACTAACCACATTCTGCCGTCTAACCCCACCATATTCGTCTAATTTTGCTCGCAGTGTAGAGCGCCATTTTTGTCCACTATCTATCTTGGCTACGTGACGTTACAGCTTCCACTTCGAGTACTTTTTAGTTCATTCATCCCCTTCCTTTCTATGATTGATTATACACTTTTGCTGGAAACACCTTGGCTACGGTCATATCTGTAGGATTTATTGGCTTATAGGAGATAGGGATTTGGCGTCTACTCTAAGTAGTTTGCTTGCTCTACTTGCATTTGAGCCCTCTATGAAGGACTTTTTCTTCACAGAAGCATTGTTTCCGAGCCGTTTTCGGTTGAGCGTACTCTCATTGTGGTGTAATATCTTGAGTTTGTCTCACTGGCTGGGCTTTTGAGGTAAGTCACTGAAATCGGACAACTAGTAGTGTGCTGCAGCCTCACGCCAAGAATCCCAAGGCTAATACTATGCGGGTCGTAGGAATGTGTCTGTACACTTACCGTGAAAGGTGTGTGGGGCCGAAATTAACATCCAAAACCTTATGAACGCACACGTGACTGGCCTTGAAGGTAACACCTGGCCTACTTTCCATTAGTTTGTGGGTCAGAATTGGGTGTTGGGAACCCTCTGTGGGTAAGTTGAAAAAGAAGTCGCGAAGAAGCCCGTAGTTTTCCCTTGTCACCTACATCTCTAATCTTCTCATTTCGAATCCGTTGCAAGTGAAACTCACAGCCTCTGTTGCACCAGCAATCGTTAAACTAGCATGAGATGGAGCATCGCGTAGCGCGGCATGGAAACCAACTGGTGAGTTCAGCATTGCTATGACAAGTGCTGGGTCAAAAACTCATATGCAACACAACAGCACTGCAACACACTACCGGATAACCAACCCCGTACTCCAACTCTAAGCTGAACCCGTAGTCAAGCAGTCAAATCGCAACTAAGATCAACAGTGAACCAGGCAGCCAATATCGGATAATTAGCTAATGAGCAGTTAGTTTAGGTAATCTCGTACAAACACGCCCACACAGGAACTATGTCGAACGGCATGATTAGTCGCTACGACGGGACGATATGACACATACTGGCAAGCTCAAATAAGTGTGCCCAGAGGATACTCTGTCTTTTCAACTACCGTGACTAGGTGCCAAAGAGGATGGGGCCAGGCTACGTTCAAAGATCCCAGGTTGTCACCTTACCCGAGTCATGGAACTCTGTGTAGCCTGGACCTCCCACCTAATTGAAGTTTCATGATCACTTCATCGACTTCAGTAGGCACGTACACACACACACACAAACACACGTACGCAGACCTAACGCACCAAGCATGATAAGGAATTATGTGCAGGGAGTCATTCACTTCTAGGTTTAAGTATTATCATCGTTTCAGTCGACTGACAGTGGTCATATTCCACGACTTGCAATTATCTTCGAATTGTTAGACTATCCATACTCATGGTGCTGTATGCTGCTCGGATTCATTGTCGCAGATTTATTTAGTAGTAGTACCTTGTATGCACCATACAAGGTACACGAGTGTCAACCGCTCAGGAATTCGGACGTTACTCGTACATCTGCGTTATCGAAATAGCTCGTTTCCGGAGGCGCTTGACACAACCGAAGTTAGGTACCGTATCAACAATGCTCCCTACTGCCACTGGCTCTATAATTCCGTTTTCATAGATTATTCCCATTCTGATGTCAAAGCGAAATTGCGAAGAAATTTTTTTCGATAAATCTCTTCAGGCAATTACAATTATGAGCTTCATAATCATTTGTGCACTCGATATTGCTAGCGATTAACACCTTGTGACTCGCATCCACCTCGTCTCTGCGGTGCGCCAAAGAGCCATAAACCTACCACCCCACTAGGACCAGTGATTGATATGTTTGGGTCTGCTGCACACTCAGTCGCCAGTTGGCTTGTGGAAATTCTCGAACCAGTACGTCACACTGTGACTGACACATTTGCATTCCTTTATCAGGTAGAAAACTTACACGTGAAAGAGAACTTGATGCCATCCCTTGATGTAGAATCTCTCTTTACGAACGCTCCATTGTTAGAAACGGTCAATTTCATCTTTGAATACATGACATAAAATAACATTGCTTTTCGATGCCGACTGGTAATGTGAAAGTGCTGATTCTACGTTGCACGTTCAACAGACAGTTTCTACTTGATGGAAAATACTATAGACAAATAGACGGAGTTGCAATGGGATCGCCCCTAGGACCACTGCTTGCAGACATATTTTTCGCACAAATTGAACGCGGACCTATCAGACACCTAATCGCATCCCTTGATTATTACAAACGATACATGGTTGATACGTTTGCAACGCTCATACTGATCATGTTCACCTGTTGAATCAATTTAACAACGCGCACCCATCGTTGAAATTCACTTGCGAGATTGGATGTTTTGCTGCGACGACGAGACGACGGATCGCTTGAAAGAAAGGTATTCCGTAAGCCAACCTGGGTAGGTCAGTACACGCACTTCCACAGTTTCGTACCGATAAAGTACAAAGGAACCTTGGTACATTGCCTGTATTATTGGGCTACAAGGATTTGCAGCCCTGAGACACTGGAAGCGGAAAGTAATTTCATACTCAAAACCTTGGAAAACAACGGGTATCCAACTGCTTTCATCAAAAAGCATTCCCAGCTCCGAGCTGAGCCTGTGGCAAAAATGACCGTGAGAAGGAAATATGTTTTCCTCTCAGTGCCTTTCAAAGGAGACATACATTTCGAACTCTTGAGTAGGAAATTGACTTCGCGCTAAACCACTTACCCCGCCGCCAGAGTCCGCATTCACGCCGAAACCGTTCCGCTCATCACCAACCGCCTGAAAGACAGGTTTCTGGCTCAGTCCGAATCCAATGTCCTACATCAGTTCACTTGCACCTGTGGTGCGAGATACCTCGGAGACACGACCAGAGGTCTGTCAAAGCGGATAGCGGAATACTGCCCTACCTTATTACAGCGTCGTACCACCAGAAATGTCCACAGGTTAATCCTAGAACACCTAGTAGATAGTGGACTTAACGTACAAACGAAAGATGCCCTCAAAATAGTGTATGTACCAGCAAAACCCTGCACAAAAGGACTCAGGAAGCACCTACGGGCCACATCAGAAACGATTGCGATCAAACAACTGCAGTCGGAACAGTGTAAACCGCGTGCACTTATGCAGAGTTAAACCCTACCGTGGCCCTAGCTTGATCACCTGACTTCTCAAGAACAAAAGACCGAAAGTAAACAATTGTTTTCGATGATTCTTCTTTAGACTTATACAATCATATGGGTGAAATAGCAATAGGCGTACAAGTGGATTAACGATCAGTTCAAATGAGATTGATCACATGTCGACCAAAACATGAATCAGTAACAAACAGAAAACTAGGGCAGAGGTACAGTTGCACAATTGCAGTTGCTCTCAGAAGGATCCGTTTTGGCTGGCCAAGGTAGCTTAACAGCTTCGATTAGCTTCTTTTGTGCACACAAAAGCGGTTGATACAACCGAATGCTGATCGCCTCGGCAGTAGCAAGGGTGCAGAGGCGCAGGCCTTTCGACTGCAGTGGAGGGACCCTGTATAGTATTCGAAAGGCACTGACTGGGTCAACCTCATGCCTACTATCAACAAGATGAGCCATAACTGAGCTAGTTATAGCTCCACTACCGCCTCGACGCTGCCAGCGTGGTAGGTGCTCCTTAATGCGCCTCGATAGTTGCCGCGCCGTTCGACCGACGTGAGTAGCGCCACAGGCGCACTCGAACTGATAAATTACCATAGAAGCGGTCAGCGTCGGTAACTTGTCTTTGTTGTAAATACGGATGAGTGGCTCCGTGGAAAAGGTACACCTAAGCTTGGCTGCTGGAAAAGTTGACTTGACAGCTGTTGAAAGGCTTCTAGTTACACGTTCAGCAGCGGCGTCTCCCTTGAAGGATATTCGTATGAAAAGTTCTTTTTTCTCTGGCATAATAGTCAATGGTGGTGGGTTCAAATAGAAATAGATTGCCACCGTTCATCCGATCGCAGCATGCACGACATCGTAACGCGTCGCTAGCAATAGCTACTGCACAAATGATTATGAAGCACACAATTGTAATTGCCTGAAGAGATTTATGGAAAAGAAATTTCTTCGCAAGTTCTTTTGAATTCAGTTTTCTTACCTAGGCAGAAATGTTAGGTACATTGGACAGAACGTCCCAGT